TGGGATTCAGTCTAGTAGCGGGCTTTCTGCGCTAGTGCTTAATGCTGTGCATATACATGCAAGACTGCGAGAGCTAGCCATCGAATCTCCAGAAACTTGAAGGGTGAATTTTGCGAGATAGAGGTTAAGTATAAATAACGGCACTTGGGTTCTGCATGCTTGTCCCACAAACGGCACACATCCATGGTCTGAGTTGTCAGAGTTTCGGCCAATGAAGCATGTTGGTCAATTTGACGCAGGCTTCAGTTTGTAATTTGGAGCGTGGTTTAAGGAGACCAAGGTTGCTGTTCTGTGGACTCAGATTGTTGTCAAAAGTTGCAGAGCTAAAAGCAATTGAAGACGGTGTAGGATTGTTAACTGAGAGACATGAAGAAAGATTAGGAATTAAGGATGAGGGAGGTGGGTAGTGGTTTGAGCGAACTTGAGCGCTGAAAGAGTTGTGATGATGGTCGACACTTCTCGGCTGCCCACACCGTGGAAGGCTAGGTTTTCTCGGGGTATCTGAACGAGAAAAATATTTGTCTGACCGGCCCCCCGTCTTCCCATTGGGAGGGCAGCCTCAGCGTGCTGGTCATGGCAGGAAAACACCTTACTGCTGTCACACCCCATCGAGCTTGCAGCAGTACGACTTCGCCCTCAGACTCCATCATAGTGTATTAATTTACACTGGTACGGTAACTACCTTTCGTCTTACCACTATCCAGCAGATCTTTCTGGCATGGTAGGACCTTGGGGCAGCAAGCGGTAGAGCAGCATAACTGGGTCATTTGATACGCGGTGCTACCACTACGTCAAGGTAGCAGCTGTCGGTCGGGTTAGACTGATTCCACTACTGTTATCACAAGAAGATTTATATTCTTTCTTGTAGACCAGGTTAATCAGAGGTTGAAACCAGTCGCAGAACATCATATGTGGCACCCGCATTCTAGTTAGTACTTCTATCCGACCAATAATCCTCAACCAACACCCTTTATCCCGATGCTCTTCTGCATTTTAGATTATTCACAGCCTTCTCAACCTGTATAAGAGCTAAAGACCCTTTCTCAATGTTACATTGAGAGTGATATCTGATAGATGGCAAATGAGGAATAGCTGTGGATCAGTTAAGTTGTTCCTTTAAATGTTCTGCTTGCAGTTCCATTCGTCTTTTCTGCAAGTGAATCTTAAATCTATATTACTTCGCTTTAGTCTGTGTAAGCACTAACATTTTATAGTGGTTTCTTTGATATGTTAGCTGCTGTCTGCTGTTACCTATTACCGCTATTTTTTCAATATCTTCACTCTTCACTACCCACTGCTCATCCTGAATTACCAATCTTCTCTACCATTGTATTGATATAGCTTATAGAAAAAGATGACTGAAAAGGCGTTAAAAGGAAAAACAAATGATTATAATAGACAGTGCCTAAATACATCTGTACCACTGTGATAACATTTCAGCCGTGCGTTTTTACGGGTTCTAACAATGAATTTCCGTTATCCTCAAATCGTAACTAAGCAGTATGCATACCTCTTCACCTAAAGCCTGAAACTTTGTAGACTTATCTGTGTTTCAGTTTAGGAACCTTTACTTTTTTTCTTAACGTAATCTTATTTCAGCACATCACGGTAATTACTGTTGGAAAATATTTAGTATATATACTAACCGATTTAGACTTTGAAGGTTTGTAAACTGATTTATCTTTATGCAAATGTCTACGTTCGGCCAATACATTATTCGAAACCGCAGTCAAACAATTCATAGGACAAAACGCAATCTAATAATACTGGTAGTGTAAGAGTGACTGACGCTACCTGGCTACCCAGAATAGGTGATTTTATTCCTGTAAGACTTGATTAGGATAGTGAGATGGTACTAATGATCTTATCAACTGACTACTTATATCTGATCTTCATGAGAATATTTGTTTTATTAGTCGCAAATGAAATCATTGGAATAAGATATGACATTTTTATCCTTACCTTTTCTAACCTCTGTTTTCGGTTATGGGAAGTAAGCGTCACTAGAAATGTTTATTTTTAAAAATGCTCCACCTCTGATAAGCCCTGGTTCGCTCAGGAGTACCTTCAGCCTCAAGCAGAATGTTTTGGCTTTGATGCTGAAGTTAGTTGCATTCTTCCAATACTCTCAAACTGAATTTCATGATGGAACCGGACTACAAACAAGGTGTCGCAACAAATACAAATCGTTTAGTGTTCAGCTCACTGATCTGGCTAGCAAAATCTAACTACTCATGTCGTTCAGTAGTATCTTTCTGTAGCTCAACTATTTCTGCAAAATAGACAAGCGTGATCACATTAAGGCAGAAGCCATGGTTAGAAGCTTAGAGGATAGTGATAAAGTTTTTTTCTTTCTTCCATGCTTTTAACCGTTGAAACCGTAATACAAACCATCATTGGGTTACTTCGGAAACCAAATTCATTCATAACGCTTCGATTTGTAAAAAGTGTCTTCACAATGCCAACTATTGTTTCTCATTTATTAGTTCTGAGGTATATTCTAACTGTTTTGGGATTATTTTTCGACCCACCTGAGATCTATTTTCTCATATCCTTCGTTTATGATTTCAGTATTCTAATCAGCAGTGCTCTACGTTCTATACTTGGGTATTGTATTTCATTCAATTGAATAAAAGCTCAAGTTCTCAGTCATCTTATGGGACCTGAACAGGCTGTTAGTCAGAATCAGTTTAGGGTCTAGCATTGCTGCATAGGTTTCAAAATGTCAGGATATCAAGATAGAAGATACAAAGATTAACGATAGAGAAATAAGGAAGGAGAAAGTTCAACGTGGTGGAAAACCGTGAAAAAAGAATAAGAAGGAATAGAACAATCACGAAATTCGTCTCGACAATGAAGATGATGCATGGGCGCATATGAACCACGAAGATGGATTCTCAGCCGTATCACTGAATCTTCAACTACCAATTTCCGTCGTCATGTGAATTCCAACTCGAAAGTTTTCATTTCCATACGTGGCTCAGGCCAGCAGTCAGACTTCATGAACTGATGCAGTGTTTACATGTGACCAACTTTTTCTCTTTTACAGCCTAAACCTACTTCAGCTAACAATGAGCGACTGGGGATACGTAATACATATTCCACCCACCTGAGTTGATGTACGTTCACAATATTTTCAACTTACTATCCTCTTCTATTTAAAACTGAACATCTGACTTCTACGTTACGCACCTGGAGGCGCTACGACACATGACCTGTGCTACGATGGAAAAGGTGGGAAGACACGTGAAATCTCATATCGTCTACCTTTGATGGCCATTTTTCACACCTATAAAGTAGAACGAAGCGAACTGCAGCGCATTACATCCTACCCTTAATAGTCAGTGAAATATCAAGGTGGTACAATAGATGGCGTACATTGGTTAAATCTAATCGAGCCTTTTATATCGTCGGTCAATGACCCACGAAGGTCGATCTAACTTCCCAAGTAATTGAAGTGGTCAACACACTTACCTACTTCTTTGCCTATTATTAAACGGGGCACTAGTAAAGACCAGTCGTGAAGCAACAATCTGCATTTGTCTGGAAGTAAGAGGTATGTCCTGAACATTCTCAATTTGCTACCCATGGTATTCAGGACACTGTATCTTGTCAGCATCTTCACTTAACAGTATTATGTCACGTGTTTACTCCAGGCCTACGATAGTCTCGTGTGACCATGTCAATACCTTCAGAGTCAAAAGAGGAGACGGAGAACTCCATAAGCACATTTAAAGAAGAATTAAACAAGAATAAACAGAAGGGACATCACTCAGTGTACCCAACTCTCCTGATACTTCATCATACTCTGTCATAACGTCAAAGAGTGAGAACATACCAAATATCTTATGTTATCTATTCCCGTTTCCTGTGAAATATGTTATTTGATAGGTTTTGGTTGTCGGTTTTAATTGTGTGAAACATATACAAAAATCGACTTGGAAGTGATTTCCATAGCTTTGTGTTTGCATATTCAGTGGTGTCAAGGATCACAATATATATTGAATTGTCCTTATGCCTCCTTCAATTGATCTTGTTTTATCCAAGAGGTGAAGATTCCTACCGTATTATTATGCCCTACTGTGCGTTCAGTAGTACGTTATTTGCTTGACAAGTCTTGTCTGTGATGAGTGTAGATCCTTTAAATCGTTGTAATGAGGTATTGTTTCAGTCATGTAATAAACAATAAGAAAACTTTAAATATCTTAGTCAGAAGTCATATAGCCATTATCCTTTCACAATCATTTATGCAATCGACACAATACTAAAAACAGTAACTGAACTAAGTTCTGTTAATTTTAGTGAATTATTTGCTGTCAGACGAGGATGTTAAAGTCAGAATCGGAAAAGCAAGACAGGCGTTCATTAGCCTGAAACCAGTGTGGAGATCTTCTGCACTCAGCATGCGGAACAAGATGCGGATTTTCAACACCAACGTCAAATCCGTGCTTCTGTATGGTTGAGAGACTTGGCGCGTTACGAAAGGGATTTCCAATAAACTACAGACATTCATCAACAACTGCCTACCCTGGCTCGCTACTGAAGATCAGATGAGACGGCCAGAAAGAATAAGCAACAAGGAGCTCTGGGAACGAACCAACCAAGAACCTATCACTCAACAAATATGCAGAAGGAAGTGGAGATGGATTGGGCATACACTGGGAAAGCCGACTGGGGACATCACGCGTCAGGCCCTCAAGTGAAATCCCCATGGGAAGCGACGAGTTGGGTGTCCCAGCTGAGGGTGACATGGAGGAGGTCGTACGAGGAGGAACCAGGTTCAAAAGATTTCAGAGAGCAGAGTGGAATGGAGACGAGCTACTGAAGCCCTATGTTCCATTAGGAACCCAAGGGACTAATAGTAATAATAAAATAATTTGCTTTCAGTATGAGTGGATTCTGTGTTATTGATTTTTTTGTCACTGGTATATTTTCATTGAAAACAACTGTTGTACATTCGTTTTTTATTCCTCAGTGTTATTTCGCTTTATCTGTTTTAGGCATGGAAAGACTAGATTCTCTGCTTTACCGACTAGAAAAAGTTACAATTCTTTTGGAAGCAGCAGCAGCTAATAACAATAGTATGTATCGAACATCACCAATTAAAGTGTCTACAGGTATGCTTAAATTTATCATCATTTCGCTTATTTTTGTCTTCAAGAAGGTGGAAATCCTGCCTCAGTCAAAGAGTTTCATGAGATCATTACTGGTCCTCTATCTGAATATGTGCTGAGTAGTTCGAAAATAGGAGATGTTGTGAAAACTCATGTATGTTTTTTTTATGCAAGTGTATTACCAAACTAATGGATGGTTCTCTTACAGGCGTCTATGATAGAAAAGTGTTTTCTACTTCAAGAAGATATTTTAAAATTAGCCGCTGATTGTTCTAAGCCAAATGATTCTGAATTAAGCCTTATTATAAGTCCTTTAGCAAAAGAAATAGAAGAAGTTATTGTAATTCTATGAATATTTCCTTAAATTGTTATTATTACAGAAGTTTAAGGATATGAATCGAAGTAGTAATTTCTTCAATCATCTCTCAGCTGTAGCTGAGTCCATAGCAGCTTTAGGCTGGTTAAGCGTGGTAGATTTTTCTTAGCTTTTAATTCTTATGTTTTTTAGACACCTTCACCAGCACCCTATGTGAAAAGTATGCAAGAAGCGGGTGAATTCTTTACAAATCGTGTTATCAAAGAGTACAAAGAAAAGTTAGTTTACATTTATCGTGTTTCCTATTCAGGTTATATTTTTAATACAACATTTTCTCTTTTCTTTTTTTTGAAAAGTCATTTAGTTTTCTATGGTTTTTCTATGTTGAACAAAATATATATACAATAGACAAGTTAAATTTTAATTCAGTAGAGATGTGCTTTACGTGTAAAAATGATAATTAAACTGTGATTTATCCAATTAAACCACTCAATTCTCAACTAATGTGCCAGCTTTTCAAGCCTTACTCTACCTACCGAGGTTTATCTTAGTAGTTTTACAACCCCACTGTTATAGTTGTAATTTATTGCTTGGTAAATGAAATTGATGAGTGATTATCGACAATTGAATGATGAGTATCTTATTCGAGCTTGCATGGGGTGCTTAACAGTATCCTTTCTTCCCCCTCTTTTTACTCTTTCTGTCTTCAATTTCGACAAGAATGTTCATCATATTCTCTTTGACTTGTCATGCTTAGTATATTTTATAAACAATGAAAGAAATGATCATAAGACTTTATGGTGGAATGTCCACACAGTTACAACTCTTCAATCATATCTAGTTTAGTGCACTAAGCTATAAACCATAAATATGATATGAATATTTATCATACTAACTGTTGATGCAAACTTTGTTAAAGGTAACTGAGCTCAAACTCGCCAACCAGTGGTTAAAAGTTGAGTGTATAAACTAATAAACTACAGCTTCATATAACCATACTTCTGTCAAATATGTCGAATAACTTATGCTTCATCCCGATGCAATATCTGTTGAAGTCAAGTGTAGATCAAAATGGTTTCAAGTTTTCTTAGTGATTCTTCGTAATAGATCTATGTAGCATCAACTTATCGAATCTGCTCTAAGCCATACGAATGGAGAAACGTGTTCAATATACTACGCTTGATACTTCTCTATAAGTAGTGCCCATTTATGTTCGGTGATCAGTTTTAGTCGTTCTGCATCAACCAATTTTCAGGTTGCTTTGTAGCTATCATTTCCGTACTATCCGTGGGAATTCAATAATCACCAGTAAGATTACGACTTGTAGTTTAGTCCTTTCGATTGTCTTCACCCTTTTTGAACAAATAAAACTCTTATGCCGAAAACAATGCCGACAGAGAAGTAAATAAATCTCAAGGTGTCAAATATGTTAGATGAGAGTTAAAATCAAGGTTAGGTTATGCCCTGAAGCTTGTAAAGTTGACTTTTTTTCCAGAAATTAAAAACTACAGACGGAAACTATCTCTCTTATTACACTATCTAGACTTTAAATGACGAAATAAATTCATTCGTTTGCGTGTGGGGGTGAGGTGGGGATCATGTCTTTTACAGCTTCTATGATACTCTCAGTCTGTCGTTTCTCAGTTTCTTATGGACATTTCCAATCAAAATACGACTAAACGTGAGTATATATATATAAGTCGACATATCAGTTTAAGAGTTCTGTATACTTTCTTATTTATTCTCTAGAGAGTCGTCTTCATATATATTTTTCAAATAGTTTATTCTAGGCAGACTGTGTCAGTGATCATGCCAACTGGAAAGTGCATTAACCAACATCAATATGCATATTAAGATTTTCATTATGTACATCATTTTAGCAAGCCTAATACTCCTAAATAAGGGGGACCTAGGTGTTTGCAAGAACTGGCGTGGAATCATGTTCCATCCCTCTCCACCCCAAGCAAAATATTAAACCGTGTCATCCTGGAGAGACTAAAAAATGCTCTGGATTCAAAATTACGACCGAAACAGGCTGGCTGGCTGGCTTCAGGAAGAACAAATCATGTGAGGATCAAATTGCAACGCTACACTACGCATCATCATAGAACAGAGCACAGAATGACAGTCAACTCTATACCTCAACTTCATGGATTGTGAAAAGGCCTTCGACAGCGTCGACCGAGAAGTAATTTGGCAGGCAACTGCTTCAACACTACGATTTTGGTGCCACAAACCTTTATCAATCTCATTCAACAACTATATGAAGACACCACATGTCGAGTGATTAACAACGGAAAGCTCAGTGAGGCATTTGAAATGAAAACAGGAGTAAGACAAGGTTGCCTACTATCACTGATGATCTTCCTGATTGTGGTGGACTGGATCATGCAGCAAACAGTGAGGAGCGAGAAGATGGGTATACGCTGGCTGCACGGTTGAAAAGACCCAGAAGAAGATTTGGGTTTTGCCGATGATGATTCATGTCTAATGTCTTGTCGCACAAACTCGAAGATCTGCTGGCGAAAACTATCAAGTTGACAGAAGAGTCAGCGATAACGGGACTTCAAGCGAATGCAGAGAAGACGGAGGTGATGAAGATACTCAACCAACAACAACAGGTACCAATCATCATCAACGGCAGAAATCGAAAGGAAGTAGTCTTTTCCACCCACCTAGGCAATATCGTTTCACCTACAGGCGGCACAGACGAGGATATGAAAACCAGGATCGGAAAGACAGCTAGACAGGCCTTCCATCATGAATCTGAAATCAGTGTGGAGATCTACTGCACTCAGCACAAAGAACAAGATCCCGATTTTCAACACCAACACCAAGTCAGTGCTGCTATATGGTTCAGAAACTTGGCATGTCACGAAAAGCACTCCCAACAAACTGCAGACATTCATCAACAGCTGTCTACGCTCGATATTGAAGATCAGATGACCAGAAAGAATAAGCAACAAGGAACTCTGGGAACGAACCAACCAAGAACCTTTCACCCAACAAATTTGCAGAAGGAAAAAGTGGAGATGGATTGGGCATACACTGAGAAGGCCATTTGGGGACATCACACGTCAGGCCAGGTCGTCGAGTGGAACTCGCATGGGAAACGACGAGTTGGGCGCCCGAAGTGAGGGTGACATGGAGGGGACGGTGTAAGGAAGAAATGAAAGGTGATTGGGAGTGGTGGCGCCAGGTTGAAAAGACTGCAGAGAAGAGAGTGAAATGGTGGCGTGCTAATGAAGTTCAATGTTCTACTAGGAGCCCAAGGGACAAATAATAATTCTTCTTTACACAGTTATTTTATGGCCTCAATTAGGTATTTTGTATGTATGTTGTATATTGTTATTCTAGCAAGTCAATGCTGGTGACTAAAATAGGTGAATGAATCTTTTTGTGTGCATATTTGTGCGATAAGTTGCTGCATTCTTCCTTTTACCATTTAGGTCTAAATATCAGTGAGTTGATTGAACTTTGTTGTGTTTGCACTATGTGTAAATTTTCTTTTCTTCAGTAGATTGACTATAAATTAAAAACAGAAATATTGTCAAGTAGATTGTTACCAGTTGTTTTAAACGTAAAATAACTTTTTATGTATACCATTTGAAGACGTATTGTATCAGAACACTTTACAAAGCCTTCACAATATCCCTATTGTATTCAATGCGTTGTTTAAATAGCGCAGAAATCTGGCAAAGAATTCTTCATCATGTTTAACCCCCTTAGAGTCTTGTGTGTTATAACATTTTCCTGATCCCCAAACATCTTTATCGCGACCTTTCTCGGTACAATATTATTGTTCATATTCTTTTAAGAAATCCGGTCAACGCACTTCAAATTTCTGAGAAAAAAACATGCGATCTTACGTGTAAATATCAGCTTGGATTTAGGGGGAAAATCAGCATCAAGTTATATCAGAAGGCAACTAAGACGCTACTTAAGTTTATTGCTTTGCAGTATGTTTGTAGATGATTGAAGAATAGTAATTTTCCTCCTATGTGAGCTAAGATGATAGTTACCTGAAGATTTTAAAAGGTATATAAAGTAGGTTAATTAAGTTGGGCAGATGAAAAATGTTTGATTCTCAGTATTAACTTTTGTTACTTTAAAAAAAAAAGTATTTATGCAAAAAATTTATTTGTTGTCTCTTGCAGAGATGCAGTCCACGTTCTTTGGACAAAAAATCTTATGTCACTGTGGTCTGCATTACAAGCGTATTTGAAGAAGCATCATGTTTGTGGTTTGGCTTGGAATGCTCGTGGTAAACCAGCTACAGCTTCAAGACTGTGTAAATCATCACCAAACCGTGAAGTTAATTCATCTGTTGCTGTTGGTGGTGCTCCACCGCCTCCACCACCTGTACTTACAGCTGCTGATTTAGCTGCGATGTCTATAGTAAGTGAATATGATAACTTGTTTTTTGTCTCAAAGGAATATATTTCACGCTTCATAGTCTTCTAAACTATATTTTGCTTAGCAGACCTAGCAATTGCTTCCATAAATGTTAATTAGGACCTACTTTTTTTTTTTAGATGATAGCTGACCTTTTAAGACACTGGAATGATAATCATAGGGCTCACTTCCTCTGTACCCATATCTGTCTGAACATCTTGGCAGTATGATTTCTAGCTTCAGTGTATCAATTCATATGTGGTAATTAAGTTGTATCGTAAATACATTTATTCACCATCGCCTTCATAGCACTGTTCGTTTTGGTGAAAACATGATTTGAGTAATTCATTAGCTAGTTATAGAATAGTAGTAGGCAGGGTAGGGAAGTTGTTTGTTCAGGCTGTAAAGCAGCTGAGGTATGTATATTATACATCTCAATTAACCATCTATGATCATACCAAATATTAACTGACTTAGGATTTGGTTGGTAAAATATTTAGACTTCCTCAACCAGAAGTCGTCGATTATTGATCAGAGCGATGCAGTAGTATAGTATATAGTATAGTATAGTATAGTGTAGTATAGTATAGTATAGTAGCAGTAGTATAGTATAGTATAGTAGTAGTAGTAGTATACATCAAAGTTAATCACAATGGTGCAGATACACCCGCTATTAATCTTGGTTTAAATTGTAATATCATACTAATTGTGTTATTTTGCTGCAAAATATTTTAGCATATATTTTTCTACATTGTAAAAAATGAATATGCTATACAGTATGATCAATACATATATTCGATTCATGCAAATTCCGTTCCATTCAATAAAGAGGTGACATTAAAACTATCACATATTTTCATACAATGGATGTAGTACCACAATTTTCAAGGTTATCCACAAAATGTGGTCTAACTTAAAATTGAAAAATTTGTAAAATGACAACCATAAAACCTATGAAAGAAAGCTTAAGTTAGTGTAAACATATTTTATCTGTAATGAATGTGGTTGTTAGATCTTCAAAGACGTATCATTATCACTTTGAGAAAACAAAAACTTCCAAAGAAATTGAATAATGAGAATCTTAAGGTGTATTGGAGTAATGATAATAATAATGATAATAATCAATATCAACATAGGACCAGGCACTGCTGTGTACTGGTTCAAGTTGCCATATCTCATATCAGCAAATCAAAAAATAAAGGAATAAGATGAGGAAAGAAGAATGAAGAAATACTGAAGTCAGTATAGCAGTCAAGATGAAGTGTAAATGCATCTACACCATTGACATCGATTCTGAGCCATATCAATTAGAGTCTCCAACTACTAGTTTCTGTTGTCATGTTAACTTCGACCGAACAGTTTGGATCTTCTTACATCTCTCAGATAAAGACTTCATGCAACGATACCGCCCCGAGCCTTTTTCTAGTCTGAACTTACTTCAGCTAACGTTGCGCGACGAGGCAGACGTTGACTAGGCGTGCGTCGTAGCACATGTGCTAGCCGTCTCAGCCGATAAAGGTTTATAACCGCATCAACTAACCTTCCTTTCCTCCGGAAAACTCTACACCTGACTTTTGCGTTACTCATGTGGTGACACGATGACCCTTGGCCTATGCTACGAACGCAACAGTGGTCAAACACAAGAAGCCTTCTCCTATGGAGATAATGACCAGAGTTAGGGTGAAATTATATATTTTGAATTCACTCTTCATAGTATCATTTCGGTAGTCATTCTTAAACTCTTCTAGTTGCTGTACAACACCTGACTACCGATTTAATATAAATTCCGGTTTGAATTGCTTACTGCTTTGATTAGCTGTATGGTTCATGAGAACCTCATCTAGTTTACTAGTTCACTAGTTACTAGCCGGTCCTAAGCCCGGACAAAGAGGGAAGGTTGGGCATAGGGCTAGCAACCCGACCCTGGAAAACCAATTCAATCGCCAAAGAAACTTCAAAGCACAGAAAAAACTTATTCCTCACTGGAATCAGAGAGGCCAAATGACGTTGGTTGATAAAGGCCTTTGGGAAGCCGATTGGCCGATGTGTCTTCGCTCCTCTCGATGACAGCAAAAGTAAGAATGGGGACATGGAATGTCCGCACCATGTATGAACCTACTAACTCTGTCCAGATTGCCAAAGAGATGAGAAGGTATACCATAGAAGTGCTAGGAATCTGCTTGAGCAGATGACATGGAAGTGGACTCTCTCAACTGTCAACTCGAGAGTCAATAATCTCCTCCGATATTGTCACCCAGACAATAACCACGAGTACACTGGGTTTTCGAGTGGCTATCATGATGTCCTCAACAGTATCGAAGGCTCTTATGCAGTGGAAATCAATCTCCTCCTCCAGGATCATGACAGCAAGGTTCAACTCAAAAGGAGGGAAAGTCATAATCATACAATGCTATGTTATGCACCTACAAATAATGCAGATCAAGAGGAGAAGAAGGAATTCTAAAGACAACTGCAATCAGTACTAGACTAGGCTCCAGTTGGCGACATGAATGCCAAACTGGTAGTGGACAACACAGGAAGAGAACTCATCATGGGTCGAGAAGCACTCGGTGAAATGACGAATGAGAATGGAGAACTGTTTGCAGATTTCTGCGCATTCAACGACTTGGTGATTGGAGGCTAGGCAGTGTGTACAAACACAATGATATTCACAAAGCGATATGAATTTCACCACATGGACACACTACACTAAAAATCAGATCAACTTCATCTCAATGTGAAGAAAGTGGAGATGCAATCTACTGGACGCAAGATCAAGTCAAGAAGGGGAACAGATGTAGGTTCACACCACTCACTATTTAATGCAAGGAACCTCCCTTCAAAATCAAGTTGAAAGCCTTCAGAGAAGTTGATAGTAGACCACAGTTCAAGTTAAACAACCAGAATAGAAACTGAAGGACGAAACTACAAAGGACATCTTCACGTCAGCCATCAGGACAAAATGGAAGATATTGAGCAACATTCCTGAAGAAACCTGTGTGGAAGAACTCTGGAACTCTTTGTAAGTAATGTGGAAAGAACCTGCATAACCGTATTAGGAAGGAAGAAGAAACAAGACAAGGAATGGATCTCGATGGACACATGGGAGCTGATAGAGGAGGGAGAGGAAGATGGTGAAGCAGAGGATGAACCAGTGCAAGGGCGCACAAAGAAAAGAGGAACTGAGTACAACGTATAAAACACTGGACAAAGAAGTGAAGAAGAGTGCGCGGAAAGACAAAAGACACTTCTGCGACACAATAATAATAATGGTTCATGAGAGCACGTACAATTTTTCTCTCCACTACGTCAGCTTTTCAATGGAGTCCTATCATTACACCACGTAGGAAAAGTTAATCAGACCATCTAGAATAAGCAAAAATTTACTAAAGTACCATTCTGAAGTCACAAAGATTTATAGAGCTAATCGTGCACTGGCAGCAAAAGGAGAGGCATCGGGAACCTGGGAACACTGGGTTGTTGTTTCATCTGTTCAACACTGCACATCAAAATCCTCATGAATTAGTAAATCTAGGTATATCAGGTTTTGCAATGAATGCATTACCACCCAATTTTTAACTAAAACTACTTTGAAATTATAAAAGTATGCTCAACAATCTTGGGAAAGTCACTACTAAATACAGCGAAAGGTAAAATGATGATCAACAGCGAAGTTGAAATGAATTATAGCCTTTCTTGATGAGGTTGTAGACATTTAGCGATTGAAGTGGCTTGGACATGTGTTGTGCATGCCGAGTCACCGCCTACTTTGATACTCTATGCTAGGGGAAGCTGGATTAGGTTGAACGATGGTTTAGGGTGGTTAGACCAAGACTTAGTACCAGTTGATGAAGTCTCTAATTGTTGTTCTGAGCTGTGTGAAGCGATGTAGACTACCTGACTAGGGTCCCCGAGACGAAAGGAATCAGTGGTTGAGAACTGTTTGCGACAGAGCTGAAAACCGATCTCAGTGGTGCCCATGTATTCACTCTGACGCCTCCTAAAGATTGAATGTATGTTGTAACTTTTGCCTCCAAATTCCTTGTTCTTTCACACAACTTTATCTACTTTAATATCATTCCTTTTCTGTCAACCTGTCTTTGTATACTACTGTGAAGTGTGACAAGTTGAACCGATGCACCTGTGTAGAAGGGGTTCTATGCTGATTCTGTCTATGTGTAACCATTCTTTCCCCCCTGAAAAATTTGTACGCCTATAACACAAAATAAGACACAATTCACTACCAATCAAAACTCAGATTGTATAAAAGTGAGTCGGTTACTATATGCCTGTGATTGACTTTAGTTCATTGCAAATAACATTCTTCACAATATACTTATTTGTGTTTCTTTCTGTTTTTAAGTGTTAGTTTATATTCTCATCCATCATTGTAGTAGCTTTTCTGATGCACAAAAGTGAACTATTTTTATTTTTTTATATACTCTACGTGTTATTCAGTTATTGATATTTTGATATCTATATTCATACAACCTTATAGTTTACTTCTTTTTCCATCGTAATCAAATTAGCAAGGGTGTGATAATTCAGCACAGTCTGCTCTATTCGCTGATCTAAATCGCGGAGCAGCTATCACATCTGGTCTACGCAAGGTCACTGATGATATGAAAACGCATAAAAATCCAAAACTTCGTGAAGGTGGTATTGTGAAAACATCGCCGAGGAATCATACAAATTCACCATCTGATATGTCAACTGTAAAGTCATCAACAAGAGATGAGTCGTCTACTGCAGGTTGTTTAGAATTGAGGAGTAACAAATGGGTTGTGGTAAGTTGTATTTTTCAATAATTTATTCGATGGTTAGACGGCAATTTTCATATTTATCTTTATTAGTATGTCACTACTACCATGGGAATTGATTAAAGTTATTAAACACCGTTTTTTGGGATTCCAAATCTGTTGCTTTTTATTAACCTATTCAACTTATCGTCTGAATTTTAAGTAGTTAGTCACGGAAGGAATGGAGAATGGTTATATCTCAGAATTCCAAGGTTTCCGTGATGCATCTGTGCTGAAAACATTCCTTCGATCGGTTCACACGTAGTGACGTGGGATTCATACAGTCAGTTAGTTACGTCGATGTAATAATTTCTATCCTTGTGAAAAAATCTGTTTCCTCTATGAATCCGCTTAATTTTCTGCATTAACCTTGAGTTGATTTTTGCTTGTGCTGTCTGAGTTTGATCTCACACTACTTTTAGTGATTAAGTAAAGTAGGAAAGTATCATTGTCCTATGAAACGATTCTCACGTCTCCTTGTTTAATTATGTAACCTTTTATCATCTTGTATGAACCGGTGTTAAAAGTTTACCAAACACAATGACTAGCCCTTCTTTGCGTACGTAAAATAGATGTGCAGATAATTTTCTGTAATTGAAAGCAGATTCTAAAACTGATTGTGGGTTGTTAGTATTTAGGATTTACGGCGTCGTTAAAGCCTTATGAAAGGATGCAAACAACTACCTAAGTTGTAGTTTACTTGGTAGTAAACAGTGGAATCCAGGATGCATGTTTCGTCCTATTCGGGGCTCGTCAGCTGGATGTACTTGGACTCAGGCGAGTGTGGTTCCCACTAAGACTCGAACCCAGTACCCATCGCTTCAAAGTATCAGCTAACAGCAACTGATACCCATTGAAAAAGTGGTCGATCCTGTGCACCAGTGGTCTAGTTGGTAACGCCTTGGGGTTTAAAGCGATGGGTACTGGGCTCGAGTCCTAGTGGGAACCACACTCGGGTTCGGGTCTCAGGGGGGGGGAACAACGTCACTGATTGGGGTTGATATGCACCCAGCTGATGAGTCCAAAATAGGATGAAACACGGGTCCTGGATTCTGCTACCAGCCATCGAGTAGGCTACAAAATAATGATTATCCGAGGTTTGGGCAGCCAGAGAGCATAATTAACCCCCACACACTAGGGTGTGACTTATTGTCTACTTCACGAAAGTGCCTAAGGTTGCTGAGTGTATTCCGATTTTGATACTAATAGCAAGGATTTTAAAGAAACAAGTGGGACATCATGCAGTTGAAATCATTTAAATTCAAGTGCAACACATCTTGAAGAACTGAGTTAAAAAAAACCTCTTGGTGAAAATGGAGTGTTACAGCGGAAATTTGTAAGATTAAACTCATTCTTATTTCTTCTTAGAGAAATGTTTATAGATTGGAAATCGTAGTTACTACTATACTGTAAGTCACAAGTATTTAGTCAGAGCTTATGATATCATCTGGGTGGTCAACTCTCGTTGAACACAACGGGATTTGAGCTTACAGCCCACGGACTGAAAGTCAACTACCGAGGTCAGTATACTACAGTCCGATTCTTTTTGTAAATGTAGTGTTCAGTCTCATTTTGCATATATTGTGGAAAATTATGATATCAAGCCATTTTATAGGTTGACCTTACTCTTAAGCATCAGCTTCATTTTTGGCGTCATCTATGGCGCCGGCGAGATATCCGACATCTATCAAACGATGAATATGGTACGCTGAAGTTCGTTCTCTCCTGTTATATAGCTGTAAGACATGGTCGTTGAAAGTAAAAGACATGAAACGACTGCAGGTCTCTGATCATAGACGTCTTCATAGCATTGCTTGCGTTTTGGGGAATCACATCACTAGGAACAATGTTGAGGTTAGGCGAAGCGCATTAGGCAAGATAGGCAAGTCTATTGATGAGGTGGTGGACCTTAGTTGACTGAACTGAGATGGCTAGCTTGGACATGTACTGCACATGCCAAGTCACCGTCTACCTCTATGTCCCATACTAGGGGAAGCTGGATTAGGTTGGAAGTATATTCAGGGTGGCCAAACCAAGGCGTGGTTCCAGTCGATAAAGTCTCTTACTGTTGGTCTGAGTCGTTTGGGGAGACGTACACCGCCTGGCTGTGATTGTCAAGATGATAAGAATCAGTAGTTGAGAACTATTGGTGACATGGCTGAAACTCGGTTACGATGTACTCGGTGACATCTTAACCTTGAATATTTACATGAACCGTTATTTTCAGGTTGTTTATTGTCTCACAACTTTTTCTACTTTGATATCACTCTTATTGTGTCCACTTGTTCTTTGTATACTACTGTGAAGTGTGGCAATTCGAACCAATGCACTTATATGCGAGGTCCTACGTTGATCTTATCATTCAGTCATTTTAGCTGCTTGCATAGTATCGATAACCCAAACTAGATGTATGTATTATAGTTCAGTCCTCGAATGTTTACATACTGAATTATGTATAGAATAAAATAGACTATCATTATTTATATCATTAGTGATTTTGTATATGAACAGGGGTATTTCAGGGTATATGCTTATACTTTCTCCACTGAAGTGTAAATAATCTAGACAACTAAACTCTGGAGTATCCTGCGTAGTTTCGGGTGTAATGGTACACTTTAGGTGTGTATGTATCTGCTCGTGTGTGCGTACTTATCTTTATGTGTATATGTTCCACTGAGGCATAGACCATACTATGGAAATCAATAATTCACTAGCAGACATGTTCGGAAATAAACGCCAAAGTGACAGATGTATCATACTTTGGTCAATATTTATCAGTCAGTGAAAACTTTCTCATTCAAAAACGGTCATAGGTCAAGGTCGTGTAGGAAATGGATCACCATGTGTAATTGAACTAGATTTGCTTGACTTCATGTTTTTTTTGGAGTGTTCTCCAAAAACATTTACACCTTGAAAGGACTGATGTTTAATAAACTTCGGTGAAAATGAATTCCGCTGATAGCATATCAACTTCTGACACGATCCCAAGTTGAGTTCTTAATAGTGGAGTTATGGCTCATTGGTTTAGGGAGCTAACTTTCGACCAATGGGTCAAGGGTTGAAACACAGCTCCACTTACCGAAGTTTTGGTAGTCAGGAGGTATCATTAACCCTCACACAATAGGTGCGGCTTATGGCCTACCGCATGGGTGTGCACTAGGTTCGCTGAGTGGATTTTTGTTCGGAACTGTTAATGCGCTTACTACGTTCAGTCATCCACCATATAGAACAATACTGCTGAAAGCGCTAATGTGACATATCTCATTGTTCTTTAAAGAAGAGAGGTATTCCAAAGAATTAATCAAAATTTCTGAAATTGAACAAGACCGTTTGGTTATTTTACAATATGGCATCATTTATGAATTGAAAAGATGTGCTTATGATGTCAAATTTTATTGTTAAGGTTGGGGGAAATTAACACAGAAGTAGATATGCTGACTGTTATCGTGTCTGTTTATTCATTTTCTTCTAACCTTTTTTTTTTACTAGAATGAGTACATTAATCGGATATGTACTGATGACATTTTCTCTACCATCAAGGTAGACGGTGACTAGGTATGCGCAGTACATGTCTAAGCCAACCATCTCAGTTCGGTTGATGAAGGTTCACAACCTCATCAATCGACTTGCCTATCTTGCCTAATGCGCTTCGCCTAACCTCAACATTGTTCCCACAGTGATGTGATTCCACGAAATGCAAGCAATGCTATGAAGACATTTATGATCAGAGACCTGCAATCGTTTCATGTCTAGTAACGTATAACAAGGACTAAACGGACTGCATATGGATCCTGTGATGAAAAGTCGGATATCTCGCTGGCACCGCTACAGTAGAACTAACCAGTAATAAATGACCAATATTTGTATTAGACGAATCAATCTGAGGAAATCAGAATCGAAGGGACAACTTTCTCTACTAACTAACACGTAAAATGACCAAAATTACAAGAGTCTGTTCAGATCTGTTAGACATTCGATACTAAAATAAAAACTAATTGTAAAACTACCAAACAATACGAAAGATAAAGTTGTGTTCGTGTATTATTGCCCTTGAAATTTCAAAAAGATACCGGACGGATATGCATGGGCAGGTGATGGAGATCCTCAGGATTGGGAGCCTTATAAGGTTTGACAAATTTGACTTGGATTTGACAAGAGGATAAAGTATATGCAGCAGAGCACTATTTCGCTTATCAATATTCACTACGCATCCAAATAATAATGATTGTGCCTGTTAAGGAACTGAACTAAATCATATAGACTATAAATAGCTGTCAAGTGTTTTCGAGGTGGTTTTTCTACCGGATAAGTAACACTATCGATTTTTCTGATCAGACTTTAACTTCACTATATTGTGTTTTGTTTTTCGTGCGTGGGTATTGTGTGTCAGCCTGCTTGCAGTATGCACAGTCAGTTTTATACTCCAACCTACCCATCTGCACACTTCGGAAATTTGAAACTTATCATTTTGTCATCCCTACCCCTTAACAATGAGACAGCAAATTATTATTGGAATGGTAAAAAACCATAAGTACATACAGTAACGACTAAATTTAGCTTTAGCGATGAACACCATAATTCACACACCCAAAGGTTTATCCTCCTCCGTCTTTTCAGTTTATTCCCCTTTATACTGAAAACCCAGACGTTAGTGATGAAGGTAAATGATGCGTAGGCGAAAAAAACATCCCGTCTATAGTTTTGTAAATTGCCTTTTTGTAGTTTTGATGGGGTTTGTTATGGTTTATATGTATAAATCGCTTTCTCATAACATTCCCTTAATGTGGTACATTTTTTTCAGCTTTCCATTTCGACAGATGTATTTATTCCAGTTATCCTGTGCTTGTTGAAAACACTCGCAATTTTATCCTTCCTTTGTACAAATTATAGATTTTTCTGTAAAATAGTTTTAGTAGACAAAAAAGTCATTGTGTGTGGTAGTAAATTATCACTAAGTGGATTGGCTGAGACATGCTTTATAGCTATTG